GCAGCAGGTGTGGTCCGATGCATGCCGATGCAGGCCGGCCGAGGGGTCGGACTGCCGGACCGCCGGACTCTGGACCGGTGCACCGGACGCAATCCCACCCGCCACTGTTTGCGAACAACGTCACCTGCAGCGTGTTCTATCGGCCAGGCCGCGGACGTCGGACGGTTCGGAACGGAAGAAAGGTCACGGCAGTAAGATGCAGAGTCCACGCCGCTGCAAGTAAGCCATGCAAATGTCACACAGCGTCAACAAGCGGTCCACAGAACGAGCAAGTTTCGGTTCGCCAGAAGAAGAAGAAAAAAAATGTTCTAAGAATGAATGGAAAAAGGGGGGATTTGAAACTAACCGTTACTGAACTCTGGTCAGCGCGAGACAGGTCATGCTCCGTGTGTGTTTCCCCCTTTTTTTCTTCTCTCTCTCTCTCTCTCTCTCTCTCTCTCTCTCTCTCTCTCTCTCTCTCTCTCTCTCTCTCTCTCTCTCTCTCTCTCTCTCTCTGGTCGGTTTGTTCTCCACCCCCGAAAAAAGCGACGGCGAATAGAGTCGGTGCAAGCCTGTGCAGAATTGGGGCGATTCCTCTTTTCGTGGCCCACCTCCCTGCTTGCAGCCTGCTTGCAGCCTGCTTGCCTCACGCGGCCGGGCCGCCACACTGACCCAGTCCATATATTCATACCCCGCCTGATTTAGATTCCCCCGCCGCCCCGCTGGGCCGCGCGAGCCAGCCGGGTGAGGGCGCGGACTCTGACGGCGGCGTGCCCGGCGTGCCCGGTGCAGGGTGGCTGCCCACTGGGTGCAGTGCAGCGTGCATCCTGTTTGTCGTATTTGTCCGGATGACACTTGTGACGAGATGATGCTGGGCGGCTGGGCAGTGGCAGGGCGTCCGCGGCAGGTCCCCTCGGCCAGTCCGTCCGGCCCGGTCCGGCCGGCCGGGGTGTCACAATACACCAATACACACGACCCCGTGCGAAGCGAAGGAACCGGCCAGCTCTTTGCATTGCAGTCCGACCCGCCCGGACAGCTCTTTTGCAAATTAAGATTTCGCCCATGCACTTTTTTTTTCCTTCCTCGCCGCGCTCCCTGCGGTCCCTTTGTGCTCGAGCATTGTGCTATGCACCGCGTGGATGCAAAACTGCAGCGTGTTGTCACAGCACGGCCACGCCGCGCTGCACCGCGATGCAGGCACCGAGGGGCCGCGTGGACGCGACGCCTTCTTCGCTGCGCAGTTGGCCGCTGCATTATCTGCTGCACCCCTCGGTGCAGTCCCCTGCAGCCCGCCCTGCACTGCGCGTGTTTGTCCGGCAGAGAATAGGCGACCGCAAACAGTCATTTGGCACGGCCTGCGCTGCCCGCGCCGTCGGGCCGCCCCCTTTTTCGCGCCTCGTGCCGACGATCTGTCTCTGTCGCACTCTCGAGCTTCTCTATGACGGTGCGAGAGAGACGGAGCGACAAATCTATCCTCTGAATCGCTCGGCCGTGCATCGGCGTGCATCGGCGTGCTTTCGGAGGCGAGGCTGTTGGGCAAGGGGTGCATGGCCGTCGCTGTGGCCGGCTCCACTCGGCTCCACTCGGCTCCACCAGAGAGCTCCACCCGCTGCAACGGCACGGGCTGCGCTAAGCACCTGCTGCGCGATTCTCTGTCTCTCTCGCACTCAGGGGGCTCCCCCGCACAGTGGGCCAGAAGACCGGTGGAGGCGGCCAAAACCCCGGACGCGTTTTGAGCTCCAGAGTCGCTAAATGGGACTCGAACCGAACTTTTGACCCCACCAACGGATTCCTCGTTCGGAGAGCAATCCATTGGTGGGGTCACACGTTCGGTTCGAGCCCCGTTTCGCGAGTGTAGAGCTCAAACCACGTCTTAGTTTCGGCCGCCTCCACCGGCCTTCTGGCCCACTGTGCCCCGTCGGTGCGAGAGAGACAGGGCGATGATGCACTCAGAGGGTCTGCTGGATCTGCTGCCACCGAACGGGCTCATCTCAAAATGCAGCCACGTGAAGGCTCGAACATGGCACTTTAAAAAGCGACTTGTGAACCCTACAGAAAGCTGCACCGTTGTGAAATTTGTTTGTGCTTCCGCTTTTAGGGGGATACTCCATGCCGCGATGTTGACACCGAAACTGGACAGTGCGGTTTGGTCTTTTGAGGGGTGACGGCTGCACTCTCTGCGAGACTCTCTGCGATTGACCTGTCGCATTGTCGCAGGGATCGACTCTCATTCTTGTGTGCAAAGTGTTTGGTGAAGCAATTCCGAACCCCCTCCGCTTGGATAGCGTGCTGTCTTGGCGGCCTCTGCCTTATTGGCAAGGTCAAGCAGCACAATAACGACTGCACTGCCTGAATCCAAACGCCACGCACATAGAACGTAAGGTGCTATGCGTCGCCAAAAGGTCCTCGCTTTTGCATTCCCAGTGCAAGGACCTCGCGCGCATGTTAGGCTCGTCCTGTCTCTCTCTTCCCCTCCGCAACGCCCCGCGAGTGCGAGAGAGACAGAGCAAAGTAGCCGGCGCGGCGGTGCGCGCGGGCCCGCCTTGGGACAGCCAGTCAGTCAGGGCTCGTCAAATGCGTCAAATGCGTCAAATGCGTCAAATGCGTCAAATGCGTCAAATAGCCTTCATACCGCACCTTGGCCGCTCCGCCGCTCCGCCTCGTCGTCTGCCTTGGAAATCGTGTGAAAGTTAAAAGACCGCGTTGACCGCGCTGACCCCACGCGTCCATTCATTCAGTGAGCCAGCAATTTCTTCCTTCTCAAAAATGATTTCCAACCACTATATTTTTTTTTCATTTTTCTAACAGTCGCTGCTGTTGGAACGCTGCTTCACATGCACTCCTCGCCCTTCCCCTTGGCCTGCCTGCCAGCCTGCCTGCCTCGAGGGAGGAGAGAGGCAGGGCGGGCCGTGGACGGGGATGGCGGCCTGCACTCAGTGTGTGTTGATGCATCCATCCCCTGCAAGCCCTGCCTACGCTCCCTTCACTCCCTGCCCTCCCTTCACCGCACGCACGCCCCTCGCGCGGCCCTTGACTCCCCCACCCGGAGGGCGGGGCGGGGCGGGGCGGGGCGGGGCGGGGCGGGGCGGCCTGCGCGCGCCGCGATTGGCCAAAGGGTTGCGCTGCACCGGTCAAGGCACGGGCGCGCTGCAGTGGTGCACTGTCGCAGAAGTACCAGTCAATTTGACGTCCGCCCCCGCCCCGCCGCCCGTCCGTCACGCGCGCGCCGTCATCGTGCAGGGCTCGCCGTCGACGAGGTGCTCGAGGACGAGGAGGACGACGAGCCGAGGATGATCCTCACACACGGGGCTAGTTGCCTGCCGAGTGGACTACTTGTGCCGCGACGCGTCCTCCTCGTGTGTGTGCACGCGGGGCGGGGCGGGGCGGGGCGGGGCGGGGCGGGGCGGGGTGGGGCGGGGGCGTAGGGCCCTCTCGAGCTCGCAGCACACAGCGCACACAGAGGCCAGGCGGGCCAATATCGGCGAGGCGCATCTCATTAACGCGGTGCGCTCTGCGTTTGGCAGTGTGCCGCCCCAAATCGCGCGCCGCGCTTACACAGCGGAAATGCACGTGCCCATGCCTCGGCCCATGCCTCAGCCCATACCTCGGCCCATGCCCAATGATGCAGATTAAAAAACTTCTGTTATTAATTTCACCATTTCATCTTCTTCTCATGCCGTTGTTTTTTCTGTTGTTGTTTCGTTTCGCTGTCGGTATGACGTTGTTTTATTGCCCGTGTTCCGCAGCCGCCATGTCAAAGTGCTTCAACTCATGTTGAGGATGCATTGATAGGCCCTGCCTTTTTCACCTCCCTTCCGATTTTGATTATTGTTTATTTCCCATCTCCACTCTACGTGCCGAGCCGCCGAGCCAGGCGAGGCTGTTGAGTGGAGTGGAGCAGTGCGGGAAAGGCAAAATCAGACCGGCCGTCTGCCTGCCCGCCTTGCCCTCCCGTCCGCCCGTCGCCTCGCGTCAATCCAAAGGGCCCAAAGGCATAATTGGGCTGGTTTTTCGTTTCGTTTCGTCGCTGTGTCGTTCCTCGCTCCGCCGTCCCGTAGACTGGTTCCGGGGAGCCGTCTCGCCGCTCTGTCTCCGTCCCACTCCCCCGGCGGCCATAGTAGGCACCCGCGGCCGCGGCCGTGCGAGAGAGACGGGGCGGCGCAACGGCCTTCGTAATGGCGCGGCTGCCGCACTGCAGTTTTTCGACTGGCCGCGCGACAATGTCGGCTCGCCCCAAAAGCCCTTTACAATCTCCTTGCCTTGTGTGCGTGCCTGTGTGCGTGTCTGTGTGCGTGCCTGTGGGTCTGTGTGCGTGTCTGTGTGTGTGTCTGTGTGCGTGCCTGTGGGTCTGTGTGTGTGTCTGTGTGTGTGTCTGTGTGCGTGCCTGTGTGCGTGCCTGTGGGTCTCTGTGTGTGTCTGTGTGCGTGCCTGTGTGTCTGTGTGCGTGCCTGTGCGTCTGTGTGCGTGTCTGTGTGCGTGTCTGTGTGCGTGCCCCGCCCCCCGCACGCTCGGTGCGCGCAGTGCGCCACGCTCCCTTGCACAAGGCCAATAGCGACGAATATTGTGGCTGCTAATTAATTGGCATCCAGGTAAAATGTCCCAGAGCGGGGCGGAGCGGGGTGCGCCGAGCTGAGCGCGTAGTCTCATGCCGAACCGCGGCCTCCTCGGCCCGTCTCGCTCTGTCTCGCTCGCACCCCTACGGCCCTACGGCGCGCCCTGTGAGTGCGAGAGAGACAGCGGGACGAAGGCACCGCGGCGGCTGCGGTGAAAGGGAGACCGCGGCTCTGGGACAGCGAGACAGAGACAGCCACTCACGTCTCCTTTGTCATGCATCATACATGGCACAATGCAAACTCCTGCCGAAATGTTTTCGCCTCCGGTTGCGTTATTTCGCGTCATTTTTTGTCGAGTCGTTTCGTTTCAAAAACTCCGTTTTGCTCCATGTCGTGCGGTAAGGGCGGAACGGTGGAATCACAACGCCGGTGGAGGGGTTTCGGAAAGACCATGGCGATGGCGAGTAGGTGGACGAGGACCGCGAGGACCACGAGGACCGCGAGCAGGAAGATGAGGACCACGAGGACGATGAGGACCACGAAGAAGATGAGGACCACGAGGACGATGAGGACCACGAGGACGAAGAGGACCACGAGGACGATGAGGACCACAAAGAAGATGAGGACCACAAAGAAGATGAGGATCAGGACCACAAGGACGATGAGGTCCACGAGGACGATGAGGTCCACGAGGACGATGAGGACCATGAGGACGATGAGGTCCACGAGGACGATGAGGACCACGAGGACGATGAGGACCACGAGGACGATGAGGACCACGAGGACGATGGGGACCACGAGGACGATGAGGTCCACGAGGACGATGAGGACCACGAGGACGATGAGGACCACGAGGATGATGAGGACCACGAGGACCAAGAGGACGATGAGGACCACGAGGATGATGAGGACCACGAGGACCACGAGCAGCATGACGAGAAGCAGCGGGAGGTTGGCAGTGGGCGCCCTGCAGCTGCAGCGTGCACTCTGCCCCGTTAGGTTGGCCGCTTGGGACCGGCCGGGCGGGGCGGCGGGGCGGCGGGGCGTTGCACCCTGCAGGCTGCAGGCCTGCGATGCGGCAATGCCGCTGCACTCGGATGCAGTTCAAGTTGAAGGTTGAGGGGGCCCGGCCGGCGAGGCAAGGCCAGGGCGGCCAGCAGGGCGGCCAGGCCACTGCATTCTGCATTGCGCGAATCGCGCGTGGGCTTGAGGGTGTACTTGTAGGCCAGCGGGCCAGCGTTGCAAGCCGAAAGCCCAACCAACTCTCAGCAGACCGAGCAGACTCTGGCTGCGCGAGTACGCAAGCCTGCCGAGTGACTGCTTCGCTGTCACTGTGCCAGTGGGCGGGCAGGCCCGAAGAAATCCGCACCAAAGACAAACAAAACCGGATCGTCTGTACGCTGGGTGGTGCGGGGGTCACTGTAAAACCAATCCAAAAATGCACCTGTGGACTGACCCCGACTCGAACCTGGCCGGGCTGAGGCAAGTGCTGACTCGTTTGCGCAGCCCATCCCTCCCTTGTCCTTCCAGCATCCAGGCCCCGTACCTGTGCGCTGGCCCCAGCCCCTGCAGGCTGTTTGCTAACACTCCTTTTATCAGCGAGAGGGACCAAGCGGCGAAGCGCCGTTCGGGGTGACTACATTCCCTCGGCGGCCACGGCCATTCAAGTCTCCGCCTCGGCGGCGGCGTCAGTGGAGGGCGGTGGCCGGCCGGCCGGTCAGCCAGGCCCCAACGGCGGCTGTCTCTGCCCAGTCTGCCGGGCTTGGAGGACCTGCAAGGCCTGCTGCAATGCCTGCTGCAATGCCTGCTGCAGCGGGAGGCACTCCGGCACGCCGCGGTGCGGCGACTGCAGCGCTGCGGTCATGGCCTCGGCCGCCTCGGCGCAGTGCCTCGAGAGACACTCAAAGTTCCTTGCAATAATTTTCGGCGAAGCGGATGTGGGGAGGGGGGCGCAGGGTGCTGGAAGGATAGGGAGGAGCGGGACACACACACACACACACACACACACACACACACACACACAGCGGGGCGAGAGGGAAATCGGCGCCCTGGAGCGCAGTGCAGTGAGTAGACGTAGAGGTAGTGGAAGGAGCGCGCAAGGAGGAAGTCTGAGGGAAAAAGTTGCCTAACGGGCTGGCCGGCGGCGTGGCCCAGGCATGGCCCAGGCATGGCCCAGGTACGCGGACAGGTGAGAGGGAGAGAGAGAGAGAGAGGCGGAGGAAGGCGAAGGAGAAGGAGCATCGCAAGGAAGAGGAAATGCGTGGAGGGGGCAGTGGACGCGTGGAAGGCGAGGCAGCGCGTCCCGCCTGGTCCCGCCAGGTCCCGCCACTAGCCGCCTAACGTCTAACACAAAAGCGTTCTGCAGTTTCGGCTGTCGTCCTGTTTTTCGGGGGAGGGGGGTCCCACTCTTTTTGGCGGCGGCGGGGTGAGGGAGGTCGGGGTGCGCGGCGGGCAGGGGCGGGCCGGGCGGGCCGGGCGGGCGGCGGCGGGCGAGGGGCGGGCGAGGGGCGGGCGGCCCGAGTGAGAGGGAGGGGGAGGACGCACCGCCGAGTGAGAGGAGGCGAGCGGTGAGGCGTCCACGCCAGACAAGGACGGCGAGCGAAACGCAAGAAGAAGGAGAAGAAAAAAAAATGAAAATGAAGAGATTTGGCCAAAGTTTTTGGTGGTTGGCCCGGTCCCGGGCGTCCCGGCCGTCCCGGCGAGGCGAGTCGGCTTCGAGGTGCGGCGGTGCAGTCACGGAGTACGGAGTACGGAGTCTCGGCGTAGTCCCGGCCAATCCGTAGTCCTGGCCGAGCGGAGTGTCTAAGTGCCCAAGGAGCCCAGGCAAGGAGCAACACGCAGGACGCGGTCACCGCCATCGGCATAGCGCAGCAGCGCAGCCCTGCAGCAGCCGCCCAGCCGCCCAGCCCCGGCTGCGGATCGGTGGCCCTCCAGCCCTTGCCGCCCCGCCGGCCACGACGAGCGAGACGACGAGCGCCCCGCGCCACAACATGCCCGCGGCCCAGGCCCCGCCGGCGCAGGAGCTTCCCTAGTGGACTGTGTTGGTGTTGATGTGATAGTGCCGCGCTGCCAAGCCCTGCCGCCCGACCTGCCCTGCCCTGCCCAGCCGCCTGCCCTGCCCTACTCAGCCCTACTCGCCCAAGGCTGCGCCAGGCTCGCCAGACGGAGAGTACCGCAGCCCGAGTGCGCCCGCTCCTCGTTTTCGCCAGGTGAGTTTGTGTCCGGCCTGCAGCTTGAGCCCCAGCCCGCAGTGCCCGCGGCCACGACGGCCAAGTCAGTGCGTTCATCGGGGGCGCCGCTGCCGCCTTCGCATGCGGCAGTGTGTCCGAAACATGTACCGCTGCAAGGGGTGCCTGGAGCAGCGGGAACACACTTGAGGCAGCCTGGACTTCCTTTGTTTGTGAGTGCACTGTGACTGACTTTCTCAAGTCTCGAGTGGCTTCCAAAGCAACTCTCCGCGAGACTGCTCACCAGGATCCCGTCCTTTTCTTTGTTTCTCTCGGGGCAAGGTTCAGTGCATGCAATTCTAAATTTTGCTGCGCAGGCTTCCAAATTTATGTACAGTAACTGCAGTCTGTGTGTGGGTGTTATTTATTAGTCATCGGTAGAGCGCGTTTACTACAGCTATTAATATTTAAGCAATCGTTCTCAGAAATAGTTGTGGGTTTTGTTTTTGTCCTTGAAACGCGGCTTTCCTGTCAGTGTGCGTGCAGTGCTTTTGCCGAGGGGTCAACAACTCGGGATATTCGGTGTACGCTCAGTTGGTAATCATTGATAATCAGTAATATAATCATAATATTCAACCATATTCAGTATAATCATACTATTCAACCGTATTCAGTATAATCACAATAATCGGACATATTCATAATAATCGCTATAATCACTAAAAATCGAAGATAATCCCATAATATTGCCAATAAACACTCGTAATCATCAATAATCAAGCCTACGTGTCATGTGCACAACAAATGCTGGGTACATACATGCAACCATTTTTTTCATGTAAGGGCTTTTTTCCTTCCGATAATCCCTGATAATCATCCCATATTCACTAATAATCATTTATAATCGTGATAATCACCGATAATCTCTATAATCTCACAGAATCTTTACCAATAATTTCAATAATCACGAATATTCAAAATATTCACTTAGAATCAAAATAATCACCTTAATCAAAAATAATCGTAATAATCGCAATATTCTCCATAATCTTAAATATTCGGCATAATCATGTATTCGGTGTACACCAAAATCCAGAGTTGTTGACCCCTCGGCTTTTGCTTTGTGTCACTCGGCTTTGGCGTGGCCCTCGAGAAGGCAAGTCAAGTCGAAGCCGATGCCCGGTTTGAGAGGGAGGCTCTGCGACGCGTCCGCGAGGATCATTCTGGCGGCGTCGGGGTGAATTCCGTTGCCGCCTCGCGGCAGCTTCGTCGCGCCGTCTCTCTCGCGGCCCTACAGCACGCCCCACGATTGCGGCAGAGACAGAGCGACGGCCTGGCTCTTCGCACTCAGCCTGGTGGTGCACTGCATTGCGCGGGTACACTGCATTCTGCATTGCGTTTCGCATGGCGCGGCGCGCCGCGGAGAAAGTGGCAGTGAGCGAGCGAGTGGCAGTGCGAGTGGCACAACTGCAGTTAGCAGTGTGGTTCCAGCCGATGCGGCGGGTAGTCGACCCCGGGACTCCTGCCGTGTCGCTTTCCCGCTTTCCACTGTGGAAAGTTGGCAAAAACGCAGCCGCAGCCCATGGCCTGCACCAGCCGTGCTGGCAGCTGCCGTGCTGTCGCAGAATTGCTGATAAATTTTGACGGCGTCCGCCAAAGACGTGCGAGGCGCGCTTTGCTGGGCGTTGCTGGGCTTTGCCGTGTAGTCTGGAGGCAGTGGTGGCTGGCCTGTGCACAGGGCGTGGGCTGGCTGCAGGCTGCAGGCCTCAGGTACGCCACTGCAAGTCGCTGCGCAGGACGCGCAGGGCCGAGCATAGCAAGCCTCCTGTCGTCGGACCGGACATGCCACGAGATACCAGACGGGCCGGCCGGGCCGGCCGGGCCCCGCCACTCCGGGCTCAATCACACTACGCGGTACGCCCCGGCCGCCACGCCACGCCCCGCCACCTCGCCGCCAAGGTCAGTCGGTGGGGCCCCCGCCGGCCCCGCCACCGCCACCGCCAGGCCCGGCTAGACGACGATGCCAGACGCCCGGCCAGGCGCTGACTGCGCGGGAATCCACGGTGCGCAACGCAAGGCTGGGGCCGCGGGGCCGAGGGGCCGAGGGGCCTTCGAGACGGCCGTCCCCTCCATGACCAGCGCCAACACCGTCCCTCCTCTCCCCGCGCGCCGCCAGACAAGCGTCTGCGTGGGGCCGGTCGGGCCGGGCCGGGCCGGCCGGGCTGTGCGGCCCTCCTATTGGCGTGACTAGCCGCCACGCCGCCATGCCTGGCCATGCCACGCTGCAGCGCGGCGGCGTGCGGCGCGGCTCAGCGCGGTGCAGCGCGGTGCAGCGCGGTGCAGTGGGGGGCGTAACTGTGCATTGGTGCAACAGCCGCGAGGGGCGGGGCGGGGCGCCGCGGGGGACACTCAGCTGGTGTCGGGCCGGGCCGTGGCGAGCGCAGCCGCCCCACTGCACTCCACCGCACTTGCACTGTACTGCAGCCTTGGACTGCATTCGATGCAACGCCGCCGCGGGGAGGGGCATGGCGGGGCGGGGTGCGACTCTCGGCCACGGCCACGCCATGGTCACCACGCCGCCATCGTGGTGGTCGTCGCCGTAGCCGCGCCGTCGGGGGGCAGCCCTGCGCGCTCTGCGTGCGGGCCGGTCGGTAGCCGTTTGGTCGACGGCGCAGTGCCTGGTCCGGGCCGTCCGGGCGGCGTGGCGGCATATGGCACGGAAGTTTGTGCGACACGCAGCCCGGGCCGGCGCGGTGGCGCGGTGCCACCCCTGCTCCCGGCCAGCCACGCCACGCCACGCCACGGCTGGCGGCAGCGGCCCCACTCAAAAAG